GTGCTTAGGAAGGTTACACTACTGAGGGAAGGTTACACTACTGAGGGAATATCCAGTCAACACCTTAGTACTTGGAATTGGCAAACACTTTGTGGATATCTCTTGAGTCTCCTTTTATATTTAAGCCTAATCTTGCCCTTGACCTTGAGTGGTCAGAGATGGGAAATGGGTCAAGGTGTGGTAGGGCAAGGATCAAAGGGGGGTGTATCTCTACCATCCTACCTACCCAGTAATTTTTTTTAGGGTCATGGGGTCAAAATGCCATTTCATCAAAGCAGCCATGCCACATTTTGTGCCCAATGGACTATTTAAAAAAAAAATACCCCATAATACTTGATGTACTATACATTTCTTTCAAAATGTCAAAGGCTCTAATATCTTTACACTAGGGTCTGGTAAGCCAGGGAAGTCCATTTTAGCTGACAAAATACACCTAGTGCAGCAGATGACAGCGATGGCTGCTGGCCTGTCCACAGGGTCCTTTTTTGGCTAATTGTTTTGTCAACTAAATTAGTGCTTATGTATGTTGTCACGATTGATACTTTTGGGATAAAAACATGCACGGGACACCTAGCTTAGTGGAGGATCCGAGGGAATTATCTCCCCATGGTCATTCTCTAGCCTCCTCCATCATCTGTGAGGGACGGCCTTACAGACAGAACGCCTTACGTCCACCAGAGAACACAAGTCCAGCAGCCTCACATAGAGCTGCTGTGTCTTCATGCTGAGAGTATGCATTCTCAACCACTCTACCTTCAGTTCCCATCCCCCAAGAAAAGAGGGTGCATATGAAAATACACCTTTTAGCAAATAACAACAAAAAAGAAGCTATCCTTGTAAAAAAAAAAAGTAATAATAAATTCGTTTTTTCCTTTTTCTGGGCTCTGAAGCAGGTGGGTGGCATGACTGGTTTTACCCATTTCCAGGGCCAATGTGCTGTTAGGAAGAATCTGGGAACTGGCGCCTGAGCTCAGGCTGTAGCCCAGGTTCCTACCAGCTGTGTGACCTTGGCCAGTCGAGTTGCCCGCTCTGCTTTCTTCAGAGTTTACTGAGGTCCACCTGAGCCCGGGAGCCTAACGGGTCATATAACCCATCGTAGCATTTACCCCCCCTGCTCTCTGCCTGCTCCTTTTGTCTGTGTTCTCCCATAGGAATGGAAGCTCTATGGATGCAAGATTTTTTATTTTATTTTATTTTATTTTTGCTTTAGTTCATACTGTAGCCACTGGAGCACCTAGAACAAAGCCTACCCCCTAGGAGAGTGCCATTCACATTTTGTAGGATCGCTCAATCTTTTTCTAAGGAGACTGATCAAACGCCGTGATTCTGTAACTTGAAAGGCATCTGGACTCTTCTCCTAGGTTCAAGCACTTTAATCCACAGAGCCAAATATCAACAGTACAACTGAAATTTCTTTTGAGAGCCAAATTTTTTAAACTCAAATTTCTTCTAACGCCACTTCTTCAAAATAGACTCGCCCAGGCCGTGGTATTTTTGTGGAAGAGCCACACTCAAGGGTCCAAAGAGCCACATGTGGCTCGAGAGCCGCAGTTTGCCGACCACGGTCCTAGGCCAAGAAGGGATCAGCAAGATCTGGTTGCCCCTGAAAATAATGCTAGTGATTTGTCATCTGGAAAGTTTCCAAGCCTCTCCTGCCTCTAAAAGGGCCTTTATCTTTTTAAGAGGAATGTGGATTCGGATGCTATAACTCAGGCAGCTCAAGACTAAAAAGGTAAAATTCTTATAATCAATGGCAGAACTATGGGAGGCCATTTTTAGAATTCCATTGACAACCCATCACTTTCCCTTGAATCATCTGATTGGCTCTGCTGATGGGCGCTGACCGGAGTGAGTGATGGACTTCAGAGAAAGGGGAAGGAAGTGTTCTGCTTATCTTCTGAGCGTGAAGAAAGGAGGAACAGAAGGTGCTGGTTTCCTATGCTCTGACCCACATTCAGGCCACCCCAGCGCTTTCACGAAACCACCAAAAAGCTCAACGTCACACCAACTGCCTCCATTTAAAAAAGGTGAGTGTAAAGCCTAACAGGATCATAAACAAACTTCAGTGACCGCCGTGACAGGCTCTCCACATCCTATTCCAATCCGGATGCTGAGTAGCTTCCAAGAGTTCAACTCTCCACCCCCGGAGCTCAAGTTTGACATAGTAATAATTCAGTTACAATTACCCCATCGACAGCGGTAATTCCAAACAAAAAGACAGGATAGCGACCTGCTGGTTTTCCAGCTGAAAGTACTGAATTCGTTCACTCCTTCTGTGGTGTTAGGGTTTTTCTAACCCTTATTTTGTTAGGAGGAGAAAAAAAAAAAAGAGGTTATGGGTCTCTAGTATGACATAAAGAAAACACAACTTAGAATAAGGTCTGAAATTGCTTTAAAGAAAGCTTTATTTACTACATACATCCTAAGAATGTACTGTAAATGGAGCAAGAGCGAAATAAGTTTAAAAGCTTTTCAAATACAAAGCAACTAAAGAGAAGCAAACCGCTAGCATCTTTGAAAACAGTGAACGCTAAAGCTTTTTTTTTTTTTTTTTTTTACATTTATATCGTTTGTTCTTAACCCTAAAAAAAAAAAAAAAAGTTCACATTTCAAGTTATAAACTTACCTCAGTAGTGTATGTGAAATGGATTTGAAATAGAAACAGTTATAAGAGGCTCACTGGTATGTAGCTGGCTGTCACCAACATTTGTTTTTAAGGTAGTCTGGCGTTTGCCATGTTAAGGTATCATTTCTTTTTCCTTTCCTTTTTATTATTCTTTCTCCCCCCCCCCCCCAAAAAAAAAAAAGTGTACAGGCACATGTAAAATACAGTAAGGCCGCTGGGTTGGAGCCTCATCCGGTGAACCTGTGTGACAACCAGACGCTGGGAGGAGACCACTTCTTTCACACGAAGCCAAGGGATGAGGCTCTGATGCGAACGGCACTTGAATTTGGATGCAGCTTGCTCGGTACATCGTCAGGGACATTGCACAATTCCTTTATGTCATTTAGGAATGATGGAAAGAAAGGCTAGGAATGTTTAAAGGCCTTTGTGAGCGCTCAGTAATCTTACACAATAAATAAATATTGCTTCTCTATAAAAAATTCATCCCACTCTAAATCGGCAGCGGGGTAGGGAGGGGTGGGGGTAGGGTGCAGGATTTGGGAATCTCTTAATTTAAAATTTAAAACAAAACTAAAATATTCGTTAAGAGGCATGATCCTATTATTCATCCACAAATAAGAATTCGGCCACCAGCAAAAATTCAGCACATGGGAAGATTTGCTGGGTCTCTGGCATTCTATAGAAACACAACCGTGTGTGACTTGCTAGCTATTGCACACCTCACTTCCTTGGTAGGGCCTTTAAAAAAAAAAAAAAAAATTCCACGGTGGTGTATTTCATCAAGTAGATGACAATCTTAATATTGTACTGTATTTTACATTCACTCTGCTAAACAGAAGCCTTTAAACAGGCACGGAACACTGCAGCAATATGTTTCCTTCCCAATAAGACAAAGCGCATAATTAGCATTGAAATAAAATGGTTTCCTTTTGCATTAAACTCTATACCATGAACTTCTGCAACAACAACAACAAAAATACCTAAGAAGTTGCATTAGGAGATATTTACAAACTATGTCTTAACTCCTGCAGGTCTCCCCCCACCCCCCTCCTCCTCCTGGGCGTGCACAGCCCCGAAGGAGAGCCCTGTCCAATAAACATACTCTTTCTAACGCCACTGGCGACCACAGACATTCTGCATGAAACACAGACATTTTGCATGAAACACAGTTAAGGCAACTACAAGAGTCACTCTCTGCAGCAGGAGTCTCGGGGGGCCTTGCTACCATAACATTCATCGTCTCTACAAAACTCACGCTTCAAAGGCAAATAAAATACAAAGCGTGAGAAAAGGAACTGAAGTCTTCTATCGGGCAATTAAATAGCTATGCAAAGGTGTCTTATGGAAAAACTATTAAAATCTGTGCTTACACGTATGGAAAATACATCCCCAACCAAAACCAAAAAATCCCCAACAGAAAACCCAGGAAGTACAAAAGTCACCCATATTTTCTCTACCAGAGTAATTCATCTGCTCTAGACTTGCCACACGGGGAGGTGGGGTAGAAGGAAGGGGTGAGCCGGGGAGTAGAAGGCAACATCAAGTTGAAGAGCGAAGACCGGGGAGCATGAGCTAGCCCGGGGGCACGGTGGCAGGGGAGAGCTTGCCAGTGTCTGGACCCCCGAGTGTGACAAGTCTTTCCGATGCTGGCTGCGGGAGAGACCGGGTGTTGAACGTCTTTTAAAAAAAAAAAAAAAAAATAGAACCATCGTAGATAACCCATGGTAACCCAAGCAAACCCTTAATGCCAGCACATGTAGAGGTTTTTACTCATTTTAAAATTGCACTTTCCAGTAATAGTTTTTAAAATAACGTCTTATGTGACAGTTTTAAAGCACTACTGTTTGTATCTTTAAATATTGAATATACTTCTCAAAATAGTTCCCTACCTGCTCAAGTGTGCTCTCTTTTTTTTCTTTTTTTTTTTTTAAATATATAGTTGATATATTATTGAAGGTACTACAAAATAGAAATCTCTGGAGTGCAGAAGTTAAGAAAATAACCTTCATACTGAAAATATATCCTTAAAAATACAAAAAAAAAAAAAAAAAAGAAAAACACCAAAAACCTCTATACAAAAGTACTACTACAGCATACAAATTGGTTTTTTTTTAAGAGATGGTCTTAAGGCACGAACCATTGCCAAGTCTCTTAGAAATGTATGAACACAGGCCTTCTCGGTGGAAAAAATAGTCTTAAAAAAACTAGGGAAAACTTCATGTGTGTGTATAAAATGTTCCAGGATGGTACTTGACTACATTCTTCACGTTCAGGTGTCGTGTGTGTGCTGATCCACCATGCTCTTTCTTCATAAATAGTAAAGTGTTCCTTCAGCGGCAGTTCGGTGGGGCGCCTCCGCGCCCGCCCCCACGAGTCAGTATGTCTGGTAGACGTCATGGATGGGGACCTGGATAGCAGCGGCGGGGAAGGCCTGAGGTATGTAGCCCGCGTATCCTCCGTAGACGGCGGCCGCGGCCGCGTTCTTCTGTAGTGTGGCGATCGTGGCCGTGGCCGGGGCGGCAAATGGCACGTAGCTGGCCCCGTAGATCCCGGCGGCGGGGATTCTCTGAAGGTTTGGAGCCACCGTGTACACGGGAGTTATGGGGCGGCCCTGAGGAGGAGAAGGAAAAGAAGCCTTACTGGTCAGGGGGGCACACGTTTCCCCACGGAGTTAGTCATCCATTCATTTCACAGCTCCGTCCAATGCCCAGATGTCAAAAGGAAGCCCCCCCGCTCTCAGGGAGGGGGGTAGAGGAGTCAACAGAGAACAGTTATTTGTTTATTTTTTATTATTTTTTAATATATTTTATTGATTTTTTTTTTTTTTTTACAGAGAGGAAGGGAGAGAGAGAGCTAGAAACGTTGATAAGAGAAACATCAACCAGCTGCCTCCTGCACACCCCCTACTGGGGATGTGCCTGCAACCAATGTACATGCCCCTGACCGGAATCGAACCTGGGACCTTTCAGTCCGCAGACCGACGCTCTACCACTGAGCCAAACCGGTTTTGGCAGAGAACAGTTATTTGTTTAAAGCGCCTGTGAAAAGAGCCATGAAGATAAGGCAGAGATGCATCTCAAGGCTCATTGGAATTCCACAGGTGAAAGCGAGAGCCAGAATGCTGAAGGAATCTGCTACCCACCATTCAGCATATGCCCAGGGAACTAGAGAAGGCAGTTGAGAATCCACCCTTTACTGCCTTGAGCTCACAGTAATTACAAATGTCCTTAGCTCTGGCCGGTGCGGCTCAGTTGATTCAGCGTTGTCCTGTGCACCAAAGGGTTACTGGTTGGATTTCCAGTCAGGGCACATGCCGAGGTTGTGGGTTCGGTTCCCGGGGTGCTTACGGAGGCAACCAGTCGATGTTTCTCCCCTTCTCTCTCTTTTCCTCTCTCTAAAAGTCTAAGAACATGTTTCCTCCCTAAAACAGGGACCAGCTGCCTCAATTCATACTTAACTGAAGGAACATGATATTTCAAAAGCAAAGAGAAAGGACTGACAACTTTATGGAGAAAAGTATGCAGACCCTCCAAAGGGGCAGTTTTGTAAGCTGTTCCTAAAAAAAAATTTTTTTTAATCGACCATACACAATTTTCAACAAATGTAATGGTTTTTAACCGCCTAAGATGTAACACCACTATACATACAAACTGTTGAAGAAACTTACAAAAGGAACCCACCAACCTGGGAAGTTGGAGGTTGTATCTCAGAAGTGGAGACACTGAGCTCGGTTTTGAAGGATAAGGGGGAGTTTTCACATGAACCAGGAAAAATAAGCTGACTGAAGCTGCTACCACCGCCTGCAAAAGTCCCTGCTGCTTCCCCCTCTCTACCTAAAAGTGTAACATACTGTGTTTTCAGAGCACATATGAGTAGACAGGGCATACTGTGGTTCAGTATTTCCCCGCGTGTTTGCTACAGAGAAGAGGATTTTGGGTAAAATAAGACACACATTTGACAAAATATCTGGAGCACCTTATCTACCACAGGGTGCTCTGTAGCAAACGCTGCTAAGGTTTTCTGCGTCTTAATGCACCTACAAATAATTCAGGATATAGGCCGTGGAGAATTATGTTTAAAAAATTATTTCCTCCTGGATTTTTAATAAAGGAATATCACTCCTTTACAAAATTTGCAAATCAAGAGTGACAAAATTATGTTCAAAGGAACTTCATAATCTAAGAGTCATTTTTTTCCTCAACTGTAACAACAATAATAATTATACTAATGATAATACCTGAGAGATTGTGGTTTGCCAGACACGAGTCTAAGTGCCTTATTTGTATGACATATAGGATCCTTACGACCACTGAGGAAGCTGGGACTGGGGTTAATGGAGAGGTTAGCATGTGCTCAGTGGCTTGCACAGGGAGGAAGAGCTTGGGAGCAGTGGCACGGTGACTCCAGAGCCTGCACTGGAAAGCCTGCATGATCTTGCCGTCTAACACCTATAATAACATTTTACAACCCGGGAGAGGAACTTTGGAACTGGGAAGACTGGTTCACAGCAAGACCCGAGCAATCTTTTCGAAATGTGCGGACATATATTTACTGACAAACGCACAAAGTGGGGTCATCGCAGAGGGAGTGACATCAGGGAGAAACCTTCCCATATGCTACAGGCCAGCTCAACACCTGGGCTCAGCAATGTGTTCTATCCACCCACCAGGAGTGTTTCAAATGCTCCTCGCTCTGCTGCGGTTTGGCAGAGTACTTAGATGGGGCGAGGACGGAGCAGGCAGAGAACCAGGTCAAAGGCCAGAGAGGTGGGACCCGGAGCACGTAGGTTTGAGGGACGGCACCAAGGCCACGCACACCCAAAGGAGCCATTCCCTGGTTAAAACAGTACGTAGCACCAGGCATTCTGCAGAATACACTGACGGAGGGAAAAGCCTCCAAAGGAACCAACTGATTGATGCTTGTACATTGAGCAGATTCTTAAGCAGAGACATCAAATAAAGACCCTGAAGGCAACATCCAGGGCTGAGTGACACGAGAGAGCAACAGCGTGCTAGTCAACACGCATGTGAGGTCTGGAATCTGGGCCTGACCAGAACCGATGCTACATGCCAAAGAGACGTTCATGTGCTTTTGTTTTTGTTTTTAATATATTTTATTATTTTTTATGGAGAGGAAGGGAGAGGGATAGAGAGTTAGAAACATCGATGAGAGAGAAACATTGATCAGCTGCCTCCTGCATACCCCCTACTGGGGATGTGCCCGAAACCAAGGTACATACCCTTGACCAGAATCGAACCTGGGACCCTTCAGTCTGCAGGCCAATGCTCTATCCACTGAGCCAAACCGGTTTCGGCTCACACGTTTCTTAATAAAGAGGAATTAGAAATTACAATAATTCCACCAAGAGTCACTTGTAGGTTACTATAGATATTCACAGTTCTCAGGAAGTATCGACACTTGGCTGCCACTCTACAGTGTGAATCAGTGACACCTCTTCCTTTTTCGGCTGCAGGAAGCCCTGAGTGAGAGAACACTCGGGGACACCTTGGTAGATGAATGCACTTCCGCCTTTCTGAGTAATGCAGTCCCCACTGGTGCTCAATGGGCCAATGCAAGCGAACAGCCTCCCACTGCAGCACGCACAAGCCTGGCTGACGCAGCGTCACTGAGGGGCTGGTACAAAACATGGATTCTAGAACCGCGGTGCAGTCCTGTGAATCAGAATCCTCTGAGGTTTGAGTCTAAGAATCTCTGTTCCCTGGGTAAGTCTTATCCAATTAGATAAAAGACCCCATGCCAGCGTATTTGTGCTTGTTGACTGGAAAGGCATTTCACTGCCTCACAGAGAATAGCTTTAACAAGACTTGAATTTCTGATTGGATAAATGGCTGTCTTTCACTGTGCTATGCACTGAAGAGACAAAGAAATGTAAGATGTAGCCCTTGTCTGGAGGAGCCTAAGGATATTTATTCTACTGATTTTTAGAGAGAGTGGAAGGAAATAGGGTGGGGAGGGAAGGAGTGAAGTAGGGGTAGGAGGGAGGGAAGAAATGAGTGAGAGAGGTAGAGGGAGAGATTGGTTGCCTCCTGCACATGCCCCCCAACTGGGACCAGGGACTAAACCTGCAACCCAGGAACATGCCCTTGACCAGGAATAGGCAGTCTGAAGCTCTAACCACTGAGCAAACCAGCCAGGGCTGGAGGAGCTTCATTTTAATTGGGGAGATGGAACATACTGGCAGGCATATGCCAAGTAATGCTGTAGGTAATGAGACTTCCAAAGCCAGGTGGATGGGGAAGATGCTGAAATGAGATGAGATGAGATGGAGGAAGCCGCACACCGGGGAACACTGTGAGCAAAGTGGGGGGGAGGGAGGGTGAAAGGTGAGGTGGATTGGGAGAGATGTGGGAATAGTAGGATATGCTTGGAGGAGATGATTATGGGCAGATTATATGAAGTTTCACATATCTCTACCTCTACAGGTTATTTGTTCATGTACAGACGTGCTTATATATGTATACAAATGTACATATTTATACCCAGAGAGGTTTAAAAACAAAATTCTTCATTGAACTGCAATTCGAAATGTGAAGCTGGGAAACTATTCCCTGACTCTGGCACCTTAACAAAAAACACAAGTTAAAAATTATCGTGTCGCCCTAACCGGTTTGGCTCAGTGGATAGAGCGGTCTGCAGACTGAAGGGTCCCAGGTTCGATTCCTGTCAAGGACATGTTCCTTGGTTGCGGCCACATCCCCAGTAGGAGGTGTGTAGGAGGCAGCTGATCAATGTTTCTCTATCATCGATGTTTCTGACTCTCTATTCCTCTCCCTTCCTCTCCGTAAAAATCAATAAAATATATTTAAAAAAAATAGTAAGCACAATATTGTGACATTGAAAAATTACACGGCATGTATGTATATTGCTTCCCATCTTTCACACAGTGGTAATAGCAGAGCAATGCAATAGTTATTGAAAATTGTTCTGTCCTGCCATGGTTTATGTTAAGTGTTTCTTCTGCCACCCGATTCCACAGTTCCAGCAGAGAGCGAGGCACCCAATGAACTCCCCCGCGGAACAGGAAGCGAATCCGTGCGAAGGGCGGCCTCCCACAGTGTACAGTGATGGCGGCGGGAACCGTTACCTGGAAAGGCGGCGGCGTTGTCACCGCGGGAATGACGGCGGCGGCAGCGGCGGCGGCGGCAGCGGCGCTGGCTGGGTCTGGCTGCACGGCGATGGGGCTGATCATGTGCTCCATGGCGTGGATTTTGCCATCTTCAATCATTTTAGGGGCGGGAGCCGCCTGGAACATGGAATACTGGGCCCCTATGGCAGGGATGGCCACTGCAAGAGAAGTAAGAGGGAAACGGGTGCATCACTGGTCCGTCACTTTTCTCGATGTTTTTTTAAAACCAGGTTTGGCAGCTGCTAACGTATGCTTTCTCAGCACCTGCTGTGCCCAGGCTGTTTTATGGAATCATAGAAAGACCCGGGCTCCGTTTTACAGTGATGATGACATCAGGGGCATTTATACGGAAAGCCAGGCTGAGGGGTCACTAGATTGCAGAAATTGCCGGGACCGGTTTGGCTCAATGGATAGAGCGTCGGCTTGGGGACTGAACGGTCCCGGGTTCGATTCCGGTCAAGGGCATGTACCTTGGTTGCGGGCATATCCCCAGTAGGGGTTGTGCAAGAGGCAGCTGATCGATGACTCTCTCTCATCGATGTTTCTAACTCTATCTCTCTCCCTTCCTCTCTGTATAAAATCAATAAAATAATTTAAAAAAAAATAGATTGCAGAAATTGTAGGATTTTTCTCGCAGGCCCAAACAAACAAAAAACAACAAATATACATACATTCCCTCCTCCAACACAAAAACCCAAACCATAGCACTGAGTTAAATTCAAAAGGACGTTCGACTGGGAAAATGTTTTTAAGCCCTAGCTGGCCTACGCAAACCTTCTGCCCCAAAGGAGCAGAGCCCTTGGCTGTTAAGGAAAATCAGAGGAGCTGAACTTCAAAGTGAGGGATCTCTCTAAGAGCTCTTTCATCTCCCCTCAGGGAAACCAGGAAGCGGTCTGGAGGAGGATCCCCCGAGGACCCACTCCTGGCTTTTGGCAATGCTAATAAGGACTTTGTGCTGTGCTCACAAGGTGGAGTTAAATAAAGTTCCATGCAGGTTGGGGCCAGAGAGACCTGTCTCACCAATGGGCACCACAACACTGGCAAACTGGTCTGAGAGGCCTGGAGGTGAAGGCAAAGTTCAAGGTTCCTGGCTTGAATCACCCAAGCGCCCCTACACCGATCTCTTGATCCTGCGAGAGGAGGAAATGAGTGCAGGGAACTGGAATCCGGGCAATTAGCAGCTGCCTTGTTCTCTAGTTCCTGGGACCTCCAGGTTGGTTAAGTCCATGAATAGGGACAAATAGTGCCAGTGGCTCCAGAAGAGGGATTTTTCTACAACTCTCAGAATGGCAATAAGCTAGCTTGCACGCACCCTCTGGCTTCCGGTGGCTGGAGTAGAAATGGGATTTAGTAAAGGAAAAGGCAGTGTTTAGCTGATAGAAGATGTAGAACAGCCTCATATTCTCCCACTACCCCCCTCCTGCCCCCACAACTCTGCCGACTCAAGTCACAGATGGAGGAAAAGCCTAACAACAGATGACACACACTTGAAAAACCCACTACTGGGAAGTTGGACTTGAGCATGGTCAGAGCTAGACAGTCCTCTTAAATTCCAGGTGAAGAACAGCCAGGAGGCCACTTTCTCTGCCTCGTCTCTGGCTGCCCACGAGTGCATGAGCCCGGGGCAGGCGTGGGGTCGCTGCAAAGAGAGGGCTGGGGTTTCGGCGGAATGGATGCATTCTCGCTCCCACGAATACTGACCTGCACCAGGTTTAATGGCAACGGGGTTGACCGTAGAGATTTCCAGATTCGGTACAAGTTCAAATCCTTTTTCTTGCTGCTTTCCTTTCCCTTCATGATATCGGCTATATATGCCACGGCCGGCAGAGTATCCCCCGAGGTAGGAACCCCTGGGCCCTGGGGCTCTGTTGCCAGCTGCGCCTCGACCCCGGCCTCTTATGCTGCCTGCTTATAATAACAACACAAAAAAATGGTGAGCGACCAACAGTGACAGCACAGGAGGCAGACGTTAACTCAAGGTGCTTAGCGTTCAGATGCTTGCCCAGGGTCTAAGCGGCATGGGGGCTACCCCTTTGGCTGTCCTATGAGCTGGTAAAGATAAGGACAATGATGTGAGACCATAATCAATAAAAATAAATTAATTAAAAAAAAAGATGCTTCCAACATTCTCCTGCAGCCTAGATGTCTATCCTATGTAAGCCTGCCCGATGCAAGAGATGAATCTGCAGGGTGAGCTCCTAGGATTGCAACTGTCACCTCAATAAAGGAAAATGTCATAGATTGTAAAAAAGAAGTGAGAACTGGAAGGGAACTGCTGGCTTATCTTCCTCATTCCAGGCGTGAGAAAAGCGGCTAGGGAGGTGGAGAGACTGACTGAAGCCACAGCGCTGGCCAATCCGGGGCAGGACCCAGCATCTTGGCATTCTGTTTCCCGGTGGAATGCTTGGTTTTACAACCCACAACGCTGCGCCCTCTACCCCGCAACATTCTAAAGATAGAATTTCAGAGGCAGATCTTTAACCTGAGTCCCTGCAGTCCAGACCCCCCAACTGGGTAGGTCCCAGACAGGCAGCATGCCAGAGCTTGCATGCCCCCCCCTGATATTATTGCTCACTCCACACACAGGAACCTTCTGCATGCCTCTCAATGCTACAGAGGTGAATTCCTTAAGGGCCAGCAAAGGCCAGCACCCAGAATGACACCCAAATGAGGGTGGGTAAAGGGGAAGCATCCACCAGCTCAGTTACAGCCACAACACCGCCTAGCAGACATGGATGGCTTGGGGGGGGGGGGGAGGAGGAGTGGGGAGAGACTGACTGAAGCCACAGCGCCGGCCAATCCCAGGGCAGGACCCAGCATCTTGGCATTCTGTTTCCCGGTGGAATGCTTGGTTTTACAGCCCACAACGCTGCGCCCTCTACCCCGCAACGTTCTAAAGACAGAATTCCACAGGCAGATCTTTAACCTGAGTCCCTGCAGTCTAGACACGCCCCCCTCCCCCCCCAAACTGGATAGGTCCCAGACAGGCAGCATGCCACAGAGCTTGCAGCCACCCCCCGCCCCCTTGATTTTCCTGCTCACTCCACGCACAGGAACCTTTCTGCATGCCTCTCCATGCTATACAGGTGCCAGCAAAGACCAGAACCCAGAATGACACCCAAAGGAGGGATCTGTGTGTGTGTGTGTGTGTGTGTGTCAGCATCCACCAGCTCAGTTGCAGCCACAACATGCAGACATGCATGGCTCTGGGGGGAGGGGGGGATTGGGGGTAGGGGGAAACCTACCCAAGGGCACTGCCCCCACTAACCTTTCACGAAGTACTCGCGGTTGGGCCCGATGAGCGCGTTGTAGGGGTAGCCATAGTAGGCCAGCGTGTAGGGGTCGCAGGAGTACACGTAGCCGGGCTGCTGCAGGGCGGCCGCCTCGGCCGCGCCACCGGCACCGCCAACGCCGCCGCCGCCGCCGCCCTTGGCCGCCTTCTGGTAGCGCGAGTACTGCTCCTTGTCCACCGGCTTGGCCAGCGTCACCTCGAGGCACGAGCCCTCCAGCTCGGCGCCGTTGAGGCGGCCCATGGCGAGCACGGCGTCCTCGCGGCTGGCGAAGTGCACGAAGGCGTAGTCGCGGATCTTCTTGACGCGCTCCACGCAGCCCGGGTTGAACTGGCCGAAGGCGCGGCGGATGGCGTCCTCGGTGGTCTCGATCATGAGGTTGCGCACGTAGAGGATCTTCACGGTCTCCATGACGTCCTCGTCCACGTCGATCTCGGGCTCGGCCCAGTCCACGGCGATCTGGTGGCCCCAGAGCTGGATGCGGCCCGGCATGAGCTTGCGGCGCGCCATGGCGGCCGCGCGGTGGCTCTCGTACTCGACGAAGGCGAAGCCGCGGTTCTTCATCTTGTCGGCCGCGCTGGCGTACACGATCACGTCCAGCACGCCCTCCGTCACCTTGGCCACCTCCTCCAGGATCTCCTCGCGCTTCTTGGTCTTGGGGATGCCGCCGATGAAGAGGCGGCAGTTGTCCACGCTGCCGCACACGCCCAGCAGGCGGCCCGGCCGGATCTCGTGGTTGTTGAGCTCGCGCACGGCGCGCTTGGCCTCCGCCTTGTGGCAGTAGGTGACGAAGGCGTAGCCGCGGTTGCGGCCGTCGAAGTCCATCATGAGGCGCAGCTCGTAGATGCGGCCCGCCGTCTCGAACACGGGCACCAGCTCGTCCTCGTACACGTCGCGCGGGATCTTGCCCACGAAGACCTCGCAGCCGCGCGGCGGCGGCGCGCCCTCCCAGCCGGGCGGGGGGCCGCCGTACTTGCGCTGCCCGTTCTCCTGCGCCATCGAGTAGCCCGTGCGCTCCAGCAGCGCCAGCAGCGCCGCCTCGTGGGGCGCGCCCGCCACGCCCTCGGGGGCCGCCCGGGCCGAGGACGACGTGGAGGAGGAGGAGGAGGAGGATTCGGGCGCCGCAGGGTCGCTGCTGCTCATGGCGGCGGCGGCGGAGGAGTCTTCGGCGGTCATGATGTCAGAGGCATCCACGGCTGCTGGGAACCTGAAAGGGGGGGGGGGGGAAGGCAGAGGGAAAGGGGTGAGCATCTGCACCCAGAATCTGACTCTTCCATCTCCCCTTTCTTCCCCACCCCTTCTTCTTCTTCTTCTTTTTATTTTTTATTTTTTTAAAAATATATTTTATTGATCTTTTTACAGAGAGAAAGGGAGAGAGATAGAGAGCTAGAAACGTCGATGAGAGAGTAACATCGACCAGCTGCCTCTTGCACACCCCCCACTGGGGATGTGCCCGCAACCAAGGCGCATGCCCTTGACCGGAATCGAACCCGGGACCTTTCAGTCCGCAGACCACTGAGCCAAACCGGTTTCGGCTCTTCTTCTTTTTTTTTTTTTAATATTTACAGAGAGGGGAGAGAGAGAGAGAGCTAGAAATATGGATGACAGAGAATCATCCATCAGCCACCTCTTGCACACCCCCTACTAGGAATGTGCCCGCAACCAAGGTACCTGTTCTTGTTCCGAATCGAACCTGGGACCCTTCAGTCTGCAGGCTGACGCTCTATCTACTGAGCCAAACCCAAACGGCATACATCCCTCTTTTTTTTTCTTTCTTTTTTTTTAAAGTCATACAAAGCTCATGCATGCTTCACCATCAGGTGGTTTTATAGGGGAAACAGCGTGGAGACCCGCTCTGGAAACACAGCAGCTTGACTAAGATAGTCTCATTCGTCAAGGGGTGGTATTGCACGAGAAAAAAACAACAACAAAACAAAACAAAAAAAAACCCAGAAGTGACTCGGAAAAACATTCAGAATGAATGAGCAAGTGCTTCCGCTTCGAAGCGGGAACCTGCTGTAATGGGTCAGTGAATATCTCACGTTCTTGCAGCACATGGCAACATCTTTGGCTCCATTCCTGCACTGTCCGCTCAGAGCGATTTCCCTTCAGGGATAGCACTTCACCCACGTTTATTTCTTTGGCAGATAAAGCCTCTTTCTTTTGCTTTCTTTTCTTTTTTAATATATATTTTATTGATTTTCCACAGAGGAATGTAGAGGGATAGAGAGCTAGAAACATCGTTGAGAGAGAATCATTGACCAGCTGCCTCCTGCACACTCCCCACTGGGGATGTGCTCGCAACCAATGTACATGCCCTTAACTGGAATCGAACCTGGGAACCTTCAGTCTGCAGACTGACGCTCTATCCACTGAGCCAAACCAGCTTCGGCTTGCTTTCTTTTTAAAATAGTCTTTTTCATTTGGGAATGGAAATAGAGCAATGGATTTACACTGTGAAGAAAAACTTTTGAGGTGCTACACAAGATAGATGCAGAGCTGTGCGCTGAAGCTTTCCACAAGGAAGAGTGGGGCCATTCACATGGTCAAGGACTTGAATGTTGCAAGTCAAGCAGAGCGGCGCACTGCGACCTGAATGGTACCGTTCAGGCAAAAGTCCTGGATTTAGATTCAGTCCTCAGAGAGATCAAGCTCCACCCGGGAGACTTGTGAAGCAGCAACTACCTGGTAAGTTTCTACAGTTTTCAGAGCAGTGTCACATGCACTATCTTACTTGATCTTAATCGCCTTACACGGTAAGTGATATTATCATTAGTCCCAATTTGTCTGTGGGGGAAGTGAGCTCCCAGAGGTTGAGTAAATTGCCCATTTCACATAGCAAGTACCAGCTAGTACCAGGACTTGATGCCAAGTTGTCTGGCCTCAGATCTGTGTTCTTCTAAACACCGGTGCTGTGCCCTGGCCTGCTTGGCTCAGTGGATAGAGTTTCAGCCTGAAGGGTCCCGGGTTCGATTCCGGCCAAGGGCACATGCCTGGGTTGCGGGCTCGATCCCCAGTAGGGGATGTGCAGGAGGCAGCCAATCAATGATTCTCTCTCATCATTGATGTTTCTAACTCTCCCTCCTTTCTAACTCTCCCTCTCTGAAACCAATAGAGAAATATATATATTCTAAAAAATAAACCAGTGCTATGCAGTACAACTTTCTGTGTGATGGAAAAGCTGCCACTAGCCACCTGTGGTTACTGAGCCATTAAAATGGGGCTAGGATGACTGATAAATTGAACTTACCATTATATTTAATTTTAACTAATTTGGAATTAAATAGAATTAATTTAGAATCATATATGATAGTACAGGTCTAAACTGTGCCACCTTCACTCATACAGCTCAGGGGTCTGTGGAAATTATATATATTCCTCACCTAAGGATATTTTTCCATTGATTTTTAAAGAATGGAAGGGAGGAGAGACAGAGAGAGAAACATTGATGTGAGAGAGACACATCGATTGGCTGCCTTCCAGGACTGGAGATTGATCTTGCAACCGAGGTATGTGCCTTTGACTGGAGTTGAACCTGAGACCCTTCGGTCCATGTGCTGATACTCTATCCACTGCGCCAAACGGCTAGGGCATGATTTTATTTTTTATTGTTTTTCTCAGTATAAATGATTTTAAATTACACAATAAGATTATCACTAGGAGTTGCATAGTGTGTGTGCCTTTGTAATGAAAAACTGTGATTGGCCTTTTGAAAAATGAAGTTATTTCATTTCTTGGACTATAAAAGTATTCAACTAAATTTTATGGACTATCGAGTAAAGTAAATAAGAAAATCATTCCTAATTTTGCTACTCAATGATAGCTAAAATAAAACTTTTTTTTTTTAAGATAGTTTTTTGGGGGTGGGTTTTTTTCTGTTTTTGTTTGTTTTTTGCTTCTAGCAAATTTATATACTGCATTTTATAAGCATTCCTTCATGGTTTTAAAACTCTTGATAAAAACATAAAAATTAATGGCTGCTAAGGTTTCATCATTTAATAAAGACCTACAGCATCATTAATTTTTTAAAAAAAAATCTAGGAATTTTTAGGAATTATATACAAGAGTATATAGGAATTATATACAAGAGTATTAAGGGAAATTTGAAGGATAATTAAATTTATCTAAAGAAAAAAAGCAAAACACATTATAATGACACAACAGAAATCAGCATGGCTCAGTGACTGAGCGTCGACCCATGAACCAGGAGGTCACGGTTCAATTCCTTGTCAGGGCTCTATCCCCAATGGGGGTGTGCAGGAGGCAGCTGATTAATGATTCCCTCTCATCGTTAATGTTTCTATCTCTTCCTCTTCCTTCCTTCCTTTCTGGAAGGAAGGAAGGAAGGAAGGAAGAAAGGAAGGAAGGAAAGAAGGAAGGAGGAAGAGGAGGGAGGGATGGATCTGAGCTGTTTACTTGCCAGTTGGCCAAACCAATACTTTCCTGGCTTATTTGCTGTAGCATCTAGATCCAGTATAGTTTAGTGGGGGAAGTGTGGCCTCCCGAGCTGACTGATGCTTGTGTGTGAATCCCAGCTTTAGCAGTTCCTAGTTGTATGACCTGGGGCAAGGTTACTCAGCTGCTCCATGCCTCAGTTTCCTCATCTGTAAAATGGGGATACTGATGATGGCATTAATAAAGTTTAGAAGAGTGACAGTTTATACAAAGCACTCTGAATTGTGTTCAGACCATTGCAGATGTTCAGGAAATGTCATTATTATCTTTCATCCAAACTTCTGGATAAAACTTCAGTCCAATTCTTTTAATTCTAGAGGAATTTTGACACTTTCCTGGTTCTTTAAAAACATCTGTTTGATAAGGCTTCTGTTTTTACTTTTTAATTTTCTTTGCTCTTCAAGTGCTTGGAAGCTGGTTTAGCAACATATCTAGTTATCATGAAGGATTCTGTCTTAGTATTCATTTGAAAATGAGATGTTAATTCCTCCAGTTTAAAGTTGAAACAAAAATTTCAATATCAGATTTGAATGTGAAGGTCTTCTCCTTTCAAAAGGAAGGAAAGGACATGTTCTTAAGAATACTGTTTGTATAAACACACGTGTGTTTATAATCCTTGCCCCGGGGAAGAAATGCTAAGTATATATTATAATCATGTATGAGGCAATTCAAGGTCTTATGAGTTACATTATAAAATACTGACTAATGGCCAAAGGAATAAATAGCCCCTATCACTCTGCTGAGCTATGTGGAGTTGACTTTTTGTTTTCTTAATTATACTTGAAACTACCATTTTACAAAAAAAAAAAAAAAGAAGAAGAAGAAGAAGTCTGACAATGGTCAGACGGCTATGGGAGTTATTTTCAATTCTAACCCCATTAAATTCACCCCAAATTCTGTTTGTTTTCAGTCTGAAATATGCTGGTATCAGTAACCTAATCATTTTATTTAAAATAGTTATAGCTTATTTCTTACATCTTTGAGCCAAGAAAAGCCTTTGCCTGCCCTCCTGAACTTACGTCATCTGGAATAAATGAATCACGTTACTGGCCTTCTTTCCCTTTTTTCTTTGGCCATTAGGAAGGCCAGGACTGAATTTGTCACTTCAGTTTTAATAACTGTATAGGACATTATGACACACTCTCATGCTCATCTAATTTCAGCTACAGTTTTTGGTGTTTTTTTGTTTGTTTGTTTTAGCCTTCTATAGTCCCAATGCCAGGAATTTTACTTATTTATATTATTAATCTAATTGTTTACATGTTCTTAGAAGCCATGTCACATCATTTGGGAGCTAGGAGAGGAATAAACGCACACACACAGACCTCATTTGCACCAGACGTTAATTAATGTAGTATCTAAACTATTACATTAACTACAAACATTGACATGAAAACAAGTGAGAAGCCCAGTGAGATACAATTTAGCATGGTTATTATTTAAAACAAAATACGTGCTGCCAAGAATGTGAACAAACTGGAACACTTGAGCATTGCTGGTAGGAATGTAAAACGGTGCAGCTTTAGAAAGCAATATGGTGGCTCCTCAAACACTTAAACATAGAATTAAACATACAATCTACCGGTTTCACTTTGGGGTATACACCCAAAAGAATTGGAAACTGGAATTCAAACAGATATATGTACACCAGTGATCACAACAGTATTATTTACACTAGTCAAAAGATGGGGGGGGGGGGGGAGAGAATGTCCATGGCCACT